CTTTTGTAGCTTGTAGAGCATTAATGATCTAGGTCTATGCTCTCTTTCCTCAGAGTAACAGATCTGGAATGTCCAGGGTTTATTAATGTATGTAATGCAGGGCCTCATAGCCACAATGGCTCAACTTAAACTTGGGCTTTTTGGTATTTATAGTGATCTCCTCAATTTATAGTATGTTCTCATATTTCCATCCTCATGACAGGTAGTGGCAAAGGTCTGAGAATTCAGAGATGTGTAGTAGTGGGTCTCAGTGGAAAAAGGCTTTGCAAACAACTCAAGAACTCCTGTGTATTATATAGATCAGTGCAAAATAATTTCTGAACATACTTAATTATTTATGTGGCACCACTGCTCACAGACTATGTTTGTGAGAACAGCCATAGGGTTTTGAAATCTGAGAAAAATGAAGCAAATATGAAAGTGTTATCAAGGATGTGGTAAAAATTTGTGAAGGACAAGTTCCAGAAAGGGCTACCTGTTAAATTCTCATCGAAAAATTTTGAAATTTAGGCATTTGCATGGACATATACACGTAATATCCTTCTGAATGAAAAGGAATAGGTGTGTCATCTCTGAATTAAGGGCTGATTTAGTGGTTTGGATTTTCATAGACAGTTTAAATATGGAAATGCTCTGCAATGGAATTTACTAAATGGTGTAGAGCAGAAGCTCTAAACAGAAATTTTGCAGTGATATCAATAGTTAGGCATGAAGGGTTTCATGCTGAGGATGGATCAGAGGAGCGTGGAAAGGATGTGCAAGTGACTGACAGACTGCAGGAAGCCAATAGCAGGACATACAACAGAGAGGGTCTTCACTAAAATTCAGGTAGTTCTTAGAGTAAGTGTGAAGTTAAAGTTGGGTTTTGATTGCTTACTTGAGGTGATCAACACCAGCTCTGGCAACAATCAGTATTTCACATCCTTGTCAACCCATGAATTTTCTGTTCCATACTTGAGATCTACTTTTGATTATCTCTAATTATGCCATAGTGTCATGAAGGTAAAATGTGGGGTTTTTTTGTACCAAGGATCAAACTCATGACCTATGCTTTCCAGGCAGGTGTTCATGCCACTGAGCTAAATACCCAACTATGAAAGTGTTTTCTTTGTTGTATGGAAGATATCCACATTGTTTCTCAGAAAGTGTTGAATATTGTTGGAATTTTTCCATATTATATGGCTATAATTTTTAAAAACAAACCAAAGGTGTCTTATGCAGTCTCTTTTCAAGATTCACTTTGTCTGTGGGGTGTCACAGTCAGGGTTTCTCTATTTCAGACAGCTCTTAACTTAGTATAACCCCAATCTCAAGGAACAAGTCTTTAACCAGCCTCACAAGATATATTCCTTATATCTGAATTGAAAGTGAACGCTTGGTGACAGTGAGCTATAAATTACAGCTTGGGCCTGGTTCCATTTTATATACTTATTTTTTTAAAGCACCATTTTCCACTAACATTTGAGTTATTATTTGTGTACATATTGGGTGTTATTTATGTTTTGTTCTATGAAACCAAATTCATGTTTCAAAATGCTGCTGAAGTATATTAAGAACAAAGTACTCACTGGCCTAAATGAGATTTGAAGAGACATTAACTGCAGCCTATCAAAGTGATTGATGAGTATTTTTTTTCTTTTTTTAAATTTTGAAAGTGGTAAAATACAACAGAACAAGGCCGAATAAGGCCCACTAAGATCAAACAGTGAATTTGGTACACAACTTCACGACTGGTTACTGCAATAACAGTAATAGGTATCACAGTATATTTTATTATCTTTATAATAGTTGTTCTTTCTTTCATTCTTTTTTTTTTTTTTGTCTTTTTCCCTTTTATTGGTACCGGGGATTGAACCTATGACTGTCTACTTGCAAGGCAGGTGCTTATGCCGCTGAGCTAAATCCCCAGCCCCAATAGTTGTTCTTTCAAACACGTATATCAAAATGAGATGAAATACCAAACATTATAGTACTTATCAAAACAGAATATTGAATAGAGCAATACCATTAATCAGAAAAGAGCAAAACAGAAATAAAAATATTCGCCTTCAAAGAGATAGTAGAAGGAAGCCCCCTTTATTTGTTATGGTCTGCTTCCCAGGAGACACTCAGATTTCTGGTTCCCATTTGCTAATGGGGGTTGACAGGAGAAGAGGGGTAGGGAAGTGAGATGTTTGATTCTAGGTGGTGCATCAGTAGGTTCACTATTGCTTAGTAGGGAGACAGGCCAGTTGTTTTGTTTCACAGCATCCTAGGTTCCCACATGGCATGGATCTCAGGAGCTGCTGCTTGTTCTCCCCCTGGAAGGGCAGCATTCTGCCAGACCTCCACCACTTACCAGGGAGAAGTGGTGCTTGCTTGCCTTCCAAGTATCCTAAATTCCAGCATGGCATGGATCTCAGGAGCTGCTGCTGGTTTGCCCCCTGGATGGGCAACAGTCCACCACACCGCCATCACTTACCAGGGAAGGGAGGTGCTTGCTTGGCTTCCCAGTTGATTGAGGGGATATTTAGCTGCCTCTGTGCTTTGTGGATGGTGGTCCTGCAGGCTTCTCACTGTGAGCTCTGCATTAAAGACAGTACACAGGGAATATTGCAGTGACTCAGCACAACAATCAGTGCTCGTATTTCACTGCGACATTAGCAGTGAGTTGCAAGCTATCATCAAATTTGCTGTCTTCAAAAATGTGTATATATACAAAAAATTAAAGACCAAGACTTGAATTTAAATTTGAAGAAATCAGTCTTCATTCAGCTGTTTAGTTTGGTTGTATTTGTTTAGTTTTGTTTTGTTTTATTGAGACAAGCTTTCTATATGTATATCAGCTAGATTTGAAAACCCTATGGAGCCTAAATTGCCCTGAACTCACTGAAACCATCCTGCCTCAGCCTTTTGAGTGCTGGCATTATAGATATATACCACCACACTTTGCTATTGATTCAGATTTGTAGGAGAGAATTTAAGATATCCCAAACCTGGTGTCTCAACCTTCATGTGAGAAATATATGTATGATCCTTTAGGAGGTGGTGAACTTTGAGGATGTGGTCGTGAACTTCAGCAATGAGGAGTGGACTTTGCTGAGTCCATCCCAAAAGAACCTCTACAGAGATGTGATGGGCGAAACCTTTAGGAACATGACTGCAATAGGTAATGACAAAATACTTTTGTCACTCATGCTGTCAGAATGTTGTATGTCGCTGTTTAATTAAAAACAATGTGAAAATATTTTTAAAAATAGCTCAGACCTGGACACATTATATCATAACTCTAAACAAAATCTATTGATTTGTATGTATTATTCTAATGAATGCTGGTATTTCTTTGTCTACAATTCAGGAGGACTTAGAGATATCCAGGAAGCTGAAAAAGAATGCAAAATTTACTGGAGATACTTAAGGTAATTCGCACTCATAAGGAGAAGGAATGTTCCTGAGTAATTAGTGTATCAGCAGAAAAATACCGCCAAAGAAATGAGGTACCATTCAATTTATTGTCAGTAATATTCTCCAAAGCCGTATAAGCTAAGGTAGGTATAATGAGTGGATTAAATCAAGAAAATGTCATACAAGAAAATGTCTTGTATGACATTGCATATAGATGTGTATGAAAGGCATACACTTTGAGTTATGACATACTCTCTTCAGTTTTTCTACCCATATATACATGTGAATACAACACATTCATCATCTAAAAATTGCTAAGATTGCAAAAGAATTTTAAATAAAATGGATTTCTTGTGTTTCCAAGCCATGCTCTAAAGAATCAGCCATTCTGACTAAAATTCTTAGAAGGCTGGTGGAATGTTAAATGCACTCATTCTGAATATCATTGTGCAGTTGTCTCTAAAAATTGATCCCCTCATACTTGTCCTGGATATATTTTTAAAAATTCAAAATGCACATAAAATACTGATACATGCTTACTGATATACAAAGCAGATCAAGTTATAATAGATCAGGCCTTGATGAAGCTTAGCTATCTATCACTGGATTTGTGGAGAAGGAAAATATTAATAGACTCTTTGTGATTGTGAATTCTTGTAAATCCAGCACACTAGGAGTCAGATTTTGCAGAACTGCAAATTCAAGTTCAAACGTCACAGCTTAATGATCAGTGAAAATCTCTTAAAACATATTTTAAAAGCTATACATTTTATGCTAATAGCTGTTGTTCATTCCCAGCATGGTAATGAAAAAAAAAATGTGTTATATAATGTCAAAAAATTAAGAATATAATGTCATTTGCCATAAGAAATAGGTGGTTCTTTCTCCCATCAATTCGGTGAAATAGCTCACCTATAAAACCTAAAAGTTCACAGGGTTTCTCTTACATGAGAAACCAAAATATAAATTGTGGAATGAAATGAAAGAGTTAATAGAGAATAGTAAGACTGACCATATGGAAAAGGGAACTACAGGTTAAGGACAGAAGGGAGATTGTGATGGTGAAACATATCATAATGATCTGTGTGTGATACACATAGTGTATACCAGTCTTTTGGGAATAGTTGTTTTCAACATGTCTTAAAAGGCCATTCTGTTACTTCATGTACAGAGTTTCTTAGCAGGCATTAAAAACAGAACTTGACATTAATGCAGTCATTAAACTGAGACCCATTTCACTGTGAATGTTTCTTTTTTTAATGTAAGGAAAGACTAAAAAAACCAAAATAAGTAGAAATGATACCACTTTCAAAGTGAAAATAAACAATAAATATCTAAAGTCAATGATTACATATGCTGCTCATATAGATAGTTAATGAAATACAAAAGTGAAACATATGATGTGGGGATTCAAACAGTGAGACTACAAACAATTTTGTTCAAATCTCCAGTAAAAACTTAGTAATATGGTTATCAATCTGATATGTTTTTTTTTTTTTATAGAAACGACAAGATAGGGAAATCCTGTGAACGTACATCTTGGAATCAGTGTAAAGAAGTTTTCCTTTGTATTGCAGAAGGTAATGTGAATGTGAAAGAAGCAGAAACACACCACAATGTTCAGCTCCATGAAAATTATGGCAGTGGGGAGAAATCCTACGTATGTCAGCAATGTGGAAAAGGGTTCACTAAATCTCGACATCGTAAGCAACATGAAAGAATTCACACTGGAGTGAAACCATATGTATGTAAGCAGTGTGGGAAAGCTTTTAACAGACAGGCAAACTGTAAAATACATGAAAGAATTCACACTGGAGAGAAACCATATCTATGTGAGCAATGTGGGAAAGCTTTTAACACACGTGCACAATGTAAGGTTCATAAAAGAATTCACACTGGAGTGAAACCATATGTATGTAAGGAATGTGGGAAAGCTTTTAACAGACGGGCAAACTGTAAAATACATGAAAGAATTCACACTGGAGAGAAACCATATGTATGTAAGGAATGTGGGAAAGCTTTTAACACATGGGCAAATTGTAAAATACATGAAAGAATTCACACTGGAGAGAAACCATATTCATGTGAGCAATGTGGGACAGCTTTTAACACAAGGGGAGATTTTAAGAAACATGAAAGTATTCACACTGGAGAGAAACCCTATGTATGTAAGGAATGTGGAAAAGCTTTTAACACATGGGCAAATTGTAAAATACATGAAAGAATTCACACTGGAGAGAAACCCTATGTATGTAAGCAATGTGGGACAGCTTTTAACACACGGGGAGATTTTAAGCAACATGAAAGAATTCACACTGAAGTGAAACCATATGTATGTAAGCAGTGTGGGAAAGCTTTTAACAGACTGGCAAACTGTAAAATACATGAAAGAATTCACACTGGAGAGAAACCATATCTATGTGAGCAATGTGGGAAAGCTTTTAACACACGTGCACAATGTAAGGTTCATAAAAGAATTCACACTGGAGTGAAACCATATGTATGTAAGGAATGTGGGAAAGCTTTTAACACATGGGCAAGTTGTAGAATACATGAAAGAATTCACACTGGAGAGAAACCATATTCATGTGAGCAATGTGGGAAAGCTTTTAACACACGTGCACAATGTAAGGTTCATGAAAGAATTCACACTGGAGTGAAACCATATGTATGTAAGGAATGTGGGAAAGCTTTTAACACACGGGGAGATTTTAAGAAACATGAAAGAATTCACACTGGAGAGAAACCCTATGTATGTAAGGAATGTGGGAAAGCTTTTAACAGACAGGCAAACTGTAAAATACATGAAAGAATTCACACTGGAGAGAAACCCTATGTATGTAAGCAATGTGGGAAAGCTTTTACCCAACATGGACATTGTAAGCAACATGAAAGTTCACACTCCAGGTAGAACCAGTGTATATAAGCATCATGAGAATTTTTTGAGCACAAGTACATATTGCATAATGCATGAAAAACTTCACACTGGGCAGAAAACTTATATATGTAAGGAATGTGGGAAAGGTTTCAGCAGAAATGCTTATTGTCCAATTCATGAAAAGATTTACAATCTTGAGAAACCCTGTTTATGTGAAGAATGTGGGAAAGCTTTCACCACACATGGATTTTGTAAAATACATCAATGACTCCACTCTGGTGAGAAAACCTATGTATATAACAATGTGGCAAAGCTTTTACCACATACAGTCATTGCAAAACACATGAAAGAATTCACACTGGGAATAACCACTGGCTATGTAAGCAAGTGGAGACACTTTGTGCAGCCAGATTGTAAGTGAAATATGTGAAGAAGCTCACACAAGAGATAAATCCTATGTGTTATGAAAATACTCTCAACACACGTGATCATTTTTACATATCTGAAAGAGTTCACTTTATCCTATGTGCATTAACAATGTGAGAAATATGGCAATCCATGTTTGTTGTTAAATACATAGAAAAAGCAGCACTCTTCAGACAGTTTAAATCTAAGTTTACTTTAAAAATTCCAAGTAGACCTGAAGAAATAATCAATACAGAAGTTTTATATCAATATTTCTTCACAAATTTTCCAGAAATGACAAATCTGAAGTGGAGCTCTACTCAAGTACATATTTTGTATGGTTTTCAGTTAATCACTTATACCTCTTTAGATTTTTAAAGTGTCTTTGTGCTTCAACATGGCATCTTGTAATTAAACATGGTAAACTGAAATGGGCTTTTCACTTTCAAGTATGGATAGTGTCTATATAATTAATGTTTTGTCTTTAAACCTTAATTTTTATATATTTGGTGAATTATTTTTATTTTTAAAAAATCCAAAATATGTAGAAATAATACAGAATTTCTGAAAAATAAACAGTAAGAAATCACTAGTTGATTAGTTACATATTGTCATCTTAGAAGTAATTGTTCAAGTAACAATATTAAGCATAGAAAGTGATATTCAAATAATGACACTGTGAACAGTTTACCTCAGTGATCCAACAAAAACTATTAATATGCTTATATGTTCTACAAACTTGTCTTTTAAAGATCGTAAGATTAAACATGACAAAACAAAACAGAATAGTTCATAAGGAAACAATTTAAGGAAACACAGGTTTCAAAGCAAGTCCACTGAGATGTTCATTGTCTATCTTACTGTCTCTAGTTTTTTTCCAAATAGTTGTTCCCATCTTCACAAGCATTGAATATATACTATTATAGAACTAATATATATATATATATATATATATATATATATATATATATATATTGTATATATATATTATATATATACTATTATATATATAATATATATATATTGAATATATATTATATATATATATATATATATATATATATATATATATACTATTGTAGAACTAATATAGTATATATTGAATATATACTTTTATAGAACCAATCAAATAATTACCGGATGATGCAGGCTTTTTTTATCTTGAAGACTGACTTTGGGGAAGTTGATGATTACCATAATGTGTCTCATTCTCTTAATAGTAGATGTCTTTATTTTTATGTATGCTGAAACTGAACATAAGAGACTAAACTAATATACTCTGAACAGTAAATAATAGTATCCTGAGAAGGAGAGAGGTGAGGAATTGCCTAAAAAAAGAAGGCAGAGGACATTGTTAAAAGTGTATCAGTATTTAAAAGCTATAGTAGTTCTGTTGCTCTGTTTATTTTATTTTGTTCTGGTCTGTCTACTCATAATAGATTTGAGGGCACAGAGAGGTACCCCAAAAATATCAGGTAATACCATGATGGTAACTGTCCTTAATTTCCTACTAACTAAAACTGAAAACCTGTATTACTTACATCATCTTACTATGCCTGATCTTATTGGAAGCTGGTTTGTTTGAATGTTATTTGGCCTTGACTTATTTTATTCACATTTGGTATGCTTGCTGGCATCAAGTCCAAGAGTAGAGGCCACTTCTCTGAAGATGATAAGATGTGAAACGTATATATTGGGTGGCTGGGGTATTAGCTCAGTGGCTTAAGTTCCTGCCTGGCAAGTGTAAAGTAATCAGTTTGATCCCCAGTACCAAAAAATAAATAAAAGATAAATTCCAGTTTAATTTTTTAAAGAGAAAAAAAAACCATAAAAAACAAAGCAGTAAAGGGTACAAATCATACAGAATTTCAAGAAAAAATACAGTAAGAAATCACTAGTTAATAGGTTACATATTGTCTTCTTAGAAACAGTTGCTCAAATTATAAAATTAAAGCATCTAAAGTGAACATTCCTACAGTGTGATTGCAGAGAGTTCCGTTCAATGATCCAACAAAGCTCAGTAATATGGTTTTCCTCCCTACACACTCAAACAGGCACTTATATCTCTTAGATGACCTTCCTTTCCTCTCTTCTTCACAATAACAATTACACTTTTGGGGGTTTTTTTACTCCCATATTTCTTATTACTTTTTTTGAAGAGAATAAAACCTCAAGTGAGTTAACAAAAAAGAGTTGGTTAGAACATAAGGATGGGCATAGCAATTGATGCAAAAATAGAATATCAGGTGATCAAAAATGGTTACCACTGTGCCTCTTGCTATTTTTAAAAAGAGTTGCTATATCATCAGGTATAATAGAATTGATCAAAACAGTATAGAACAAGACAAATAAAATCTACACTGGAGACCTTACAGGATTTCAAAAGAGGATAATAGTCAAACCATAATGGGCATCATAGTAAATCTATTGCCTACAAAGTGGTTGCCTATACCCTCAAACTTGAAAATATCAAACAAAATAGAATATAGTAAAATCAGGCAGAACAAGATGGGGAGAGCAATACTGGGGTTAAAATCAGGTTAATGGGAAAACATAGAAGTTACTATAATATATCCCTCTAATTTTTAATTTAGTTTTCTTTTAAAAAATAGAATATTTTTTAAAAAGGGTGGAGATCGAGATAAAAGAGACATTGTAATAGAACAACACAGGTCAGAACTGAACAATTAAAGCATCATTTTGTTTCACCACCAGATAATCTAACATAATAGTAGTCACCATAGTGCCTCTTTCCTTGAATTGTTTGAGCATAACTTCGTATACTATAGAATCAATCACATCAAGACAGTGTGAATCCATTCAAGAGAAAGAAAAAATTACAGGGTATTTAGAGCCAACTAACAGAAAATGAATAATGATTTCTATATTATCTCTTTGCCTGTGAAAAATTTTATTTATACTATCATATACAGTAAAATATGTTAAGATACAACATGTTAAAACCAGTGGAAACATGTACAACATCTTGATGGGAGTTCCAAAGAAGAGGATATTAAATCATCACTAGCTTTTATGGTGTGTTATTTTCTTCAGAATAGCTATTCGTACTATCACCGATACTAAAATTGAAAAACCCAGGGTAAAACCATTGCACTTAATGAGGAAAACATTATAAGGATTCAAACCAATATGATTGGGTATCATGATTACCACATACTTCTATGTATTATCATTTCTTATACTAGGGAATATATTTGGTATTTATACATGTGAGTTTGATTTATTTCACTTATGAGTATGGTCTCAATCTGCATCCATTTATTTATATGTCAATGTGATCATTCTTTATAGCTGAGTAGTACTCCATTGTATAAAAACACCATAACTTTTTTTTTCCATTCCTCAGTTGACGGACACTTAGGTTGTTTCCAAGATCTGGCTATTATAAACTGTGCTGCTATAAAAATGGGTGCACATATATCACTGTGGAATGATGCTTTCAGTTCTTCGGTGAATATGCCTAGAAGTAGAATAGCTGGGTCAAAAGGTGCTTCCAGTCCCAGCTTTCTGAGAAATCTCCAGACTGATCTCCACAATGGTTGCACCAGTCTACCCTCCCACAAACAGTGCAGTAGAGTTCCTTTTGCCCAACAGTGTCTCCAACATTTGTTGTTTGTGGTTTTCTTGGTCTTGGCCATTCTTTCAGGAGTGAGATGAAATTTCAATGTGGTTTTAATTTGCATTTCTGTAATGACCATTGATGGTGAACATTTTTTCACGTGTTTTTTTGTCACTTGTATTTCTTCATCTCAAAATTATTTATTCATCTCAGATGCTCATTTTTGAATTCTGTCTTTGAATTTTGGCGGTCTCATTTTTAAAAATGCTTTATATGTTTTAGACAGAAGTCCTCTGTCTGAGGGGCAGTTCACTAAGACATTTTCCCAGTTTGTGAGTTTTTTTTCACTATACTGGAGATTTCTTTCTATGTGCAGAAACTTTTTAATAAGAGGTGATCCCAATTATTGATTCTGGGAAGCATTGCCCGTATGGTTTGAGTCTTGATGTGATCAATTCTCTACCTACTCCTATGTCTTCAAGGTTTTTACCTAATTTGTCTTCCATTAGATTTAGTGTTTCTGTTTTAATATTTAGATCTTTGATCCATTTAGATTTTATTTTAGTACATGGTGATAGGTATGGGTCTAGTTTTAGTTTTAGGCATATGGAGAGCCAGTTTTTCATCACCATTTATTAAACAGAATGTCATTCTTCCAGTGAACATGTTTGGCCCATTTATCAAAGATAAGGGAGTTGAATGTATTTGTAGTGGTGGTTGTATCTTCTCATCTATTCCACTGATCTTTGGCTCTGTTTCAATTCCAGTACCATGTTGATTTTACTACAGTTGCTTTGTAGTATAACTTCAAGTCAGGGGTTGTGGTACCTCCTGCCTGGGCTTTTGCTGCTTCTAACTGTGTTGCTATTCTAGGTTTCTTCTCATTCCAGAAGAATTTTAGGGGTGATTTCTCAAGTTCTATGAGGTATGTTGATGGTATTTTTATCGGGATTGCATTGCGTCTGAA